GTTCCCTTTATTACAGAGCAGTATTATACGGATGTGCCAGTCTGCTTATCCAGCCACTTACTGAGAGACATTTAGGTTGTTTCCAGTTTGGGGTGATTATGAATTGAGCTGCTAAAACATTCCCATACAGGTTTTTATGTGAACACAGGTTTTCATTTCACTTGGGTAAATGGAACTGCCAAACTCTTTTCCAAGTAGCTGTACCATTTTGCAATGTATAAGAGTTCCAGTTATTACGTGTTCTTGCCAGCATGTAACTTTGTCAGTTAAAAAATTCTAATGTGTAGTGATTTCAATAAAGTTCAACTTATCAGTTTTTTTCTTTTATACATTATGTTTCTGGTATAGCATCTAAGAACTTTTTGGTTTTTGACCCCATATGATCTGCATGAACTAAGAATTCTTTTCTAGCACAAGGTAGCAAAGATTTTCTTCCACATAACATATGTTTTGAACAAATTTTTGTTATATTTTTAAGCCACAGAAATCATATAAAATGAAAACACGTACAGAACAAGTTTCAGGTACTTTGCTATAAGTGAATCTCTTTGTGGTTCTCTGTCCCATTAAAAAAAGATTGCAAAGGTCCTGCTGTTTAAAGAGTGTGTTTTTATAAGATCAGCTTTTTTTTTTTTTTTTAAGAGAGGCAAGGTCTTGCTCTGTCACCCAGGTTGGAGGGCACGGACATGGTCACAGCCCACTCTAACCTTGAATTCCTGGGCTCAAGTGATCCTCGCCTCTGGAGTAGCTAGGACTATAGCTGTGTGCCACCATGCCCAGCTGCTTTTTTTTTGGTAGAGACTCAGTCTTTCTACGTTGCCTACGTTAGTTTCAAAGTCCTTGGCTCAACCATCCTCCCTCCTGCCTTGGCCTCCCATGAGCCACAGTAACTTCTTATTAACAATTTATTCCATTTTTTTTGAATGAGACATTTTTCAGAAAGTATTATCATTGTCCAGCAGCACAGAAACAGCAGTATTCGTAATATCCTGACAGCAAAGGCAGAAGAGCACCCCTGTCAAGTCCCACCCTCCCTCCCGCACACTCTTCCTTCCAGAAACCTATATACATATGTATCTGTGAACTGGGAAAGGTCCCGGTGGCAATCTGTACGTTGAAGCTGTTTAGTGAAACCTTTTAAAAAGATAAAAAATAGATAAAATTTCTATTTTGCCCTTTCCCTGGAAAAAAGGATTGTCTTGAGGGTTATCTTGCATGCTACTGGAAAGTCGCACGTTTTGTCCCTCTCTCTACCTGCCCAGCTGTGTCTAGCAAAGAGCAGATGATCCGTGAGTGATGGAGAAACAAGTCAGTGCATTCTGCAAGACCATTCCTTTATAAATGGTGACGCTTCATCGCCTCGTGTTATTTTCCTGTCCTTTAAGGATTTGCTTTCCCATAGCCACCTTCATCCAAGCTCTGAACTTGAAAGTCTTGGCAAATTATTTCTTAGAGGATGACACTTCCAAATGCCCATTACTTGGGACCATGGAATTGGAACTGTGGTATATCCAGAATGGAATATTAACTCAGCCATAAAAATAATGTATTGTTGGAGATGTGCAACACCATGAATGAATCCTGGAAGACTTATGCTGAATTAAAGAAGCCAGGCAAAAAATAATACATACTGTGTAATTTCACTTATTAAGAATTCTAACGAGGTGCAGTGGCTCACGCCTGTAATCCTAGCACTTTGAGGGGCTGAGGCGAGAGGATCACCTGAGCTTAGGAGTTTGAGACCAGCACGAGCAAGAGTGAGACCCCGTCTCTAAAAAATAGCCGGCCGTTTGTGGTGGGTGCCTGTAACCCCAGCTACTTGGGAGACTGAGGCAAGAGGATCTCTTGAGCCCAAGAGTTTGAGGTTGCTGTGAGCCATGACACCATGGCAGTCTGCTGAGGGCAACAAAGTGAGACTCTGTCTCAAAAAAAAAAAAAATTCTAGAAAATTATAAATTATAGTCACGGAAAGTAGTGGTTGGTTGCCTTGTGTTCCACAGATGGAAAAGGGGTCAGAGGACTAGAGAATTCAGAGGGAGATCAGAATTGTTTGGGTATAATGGAGAGTCCTATAGTCTTGATTGTGGTGATGGCTTTGGAGGTGTATATAGCGATCAGAACTCCTCCAATAGTACACTTTATTTTTATTTTTCTAATTTCAGGTTGATATATGGGTACAAGAAATTAGGTCACTTTGTGTTTGGTAGGTAAAGTCCAAGTTATAGTTGAGCCCTTCACCCACTAGCTGGCACATATACCTTATATTGTACCTGTCAGGTGAGAGCTTACTAAGCTCCCTCTCTCTTTCCTCTCCCCACTAATTGAATTTAACTGTGTGGTTTTGGGGGGGTTTCTTTATTTTTTTCTTGAGACAGAGTCTCACTCTCTCACTCTGGGTAGAGTGCCATGGCATCATAGCTCACAGCAACCTCAAACTCTTGGGTTTGAGCAGTCCTCTGGCCTCAGTCTTCTGAGTAGCTGGGCCTACAGCTATTTTTAATAGAAACACGATCTTGCTGTTGCTTGGGCTGGTCTCAAACTCCTGAGCTCAGGCAGTCCATCTGCCTCAGCCTCCCAGAGTGCTGGGATTACAGGTGTGAGCCACCACACCCAGCCAGTTATGTTTTTTTTCTTATGGGGTATGTGGGTATGTAGTTTTTTTTTGTTATGTGGGTATGTAGTTATTCATGTACTACTTCCATATTAGTATTGAGTACATTGGGTACTTGCTTTTCTGTTCTTGGGATACATTACTTAGGAGGATGTTCTCTAAGTCCATCCAGGTAAATACAAAAGATGTAAAGTCTCTATTCTTTATGGGTGAGTAGTGTTCCATGGCACACGTATACCACAGTTCATTTGTCCATTCCTGAGTTGATGGGCACTTGGGTTGTTTCCACGTCTTGGAGATTGTGAATTGAGCTGTGATAAACATTCTAGTACAAATGTCC